TGAAGTTCAGGAGCTATGAGTACTCAGGACCACCAAGGATTACGACCTATGTCGATGCCAGTTGGGCAGTCGAAAAGTCCACCAATAGGAAGAGTACTTCAGGAGCAGCCATCTTCGTTAGTGACTGTTGTGTCAAAGCATTCAGTAGGTTGCAGCAGAGTGTAGCCTGTAGTTCAGCCGAGGCAGAGCTATATGCTTTGTTCGAAGGAGCGAAAGAGACTATAGGTATTCAACATGCCGTGGCACATGTCTATGGATGTCAAGCTGAGGAATTGCCCATTCCAGGTTTGCTTACGGATTCGATGGCAGCCCGAAATGTCACAGAGATGTCAGGGTTGTTGAGAAGATTGAGACACATAGACATTCGAATCTGTTTTTTGCAAGATGCAGTCTACAAGGGTGTGATTTCTATCAGCTTTGTCCGAGGTACCGAGAATTGTGCCGACTTGATGACCAAGGCATTGTCGAGAGCTGTGACTTTACAACATATGGAGACGATCGGAGTTGTCAGAGCATTTCTCATTTCATTTGAAGTGCCGTATGACTGGATCGGGAGATGGTTGTGGGTTATGGATCACATGTACCGAAATCCTGATTGTTGAGTTTTGCACATCACCGGAGTCCGAGATGAAAGAAGTCGGAAGCCGTACGGAAGGTGTTGAAGTCTTGACTGTCACTGAGGCGGATGACGGAACCCGATCGGACACAATCGAGTCAATTCGGGAGCAGATGATAAGCCATCGGAAGAGAGGAAAGCTTGTTGTCTTGTGGTCGTCGATTCCGTGTACAGGAGGATGTCCGTTTCAGTACATTTGTATCAAGAAGTTTGGTCAGGACTATATGGGCCATCTTCGAGAGTTGTACCAGATACAGAAGAAGCTATGGAAAGGTTTCTTACGGATGTCGGAAGTAGCCGATTTCGTAGCGATTGAATGGCCAAAGAGATGTGCTTATTGGGGATGGAATCAGACTAAAGATTTTCTGAGGAAACGAAAGACGTTTTCAACATTTGTGGATGCTTGTTCAGTCAAGTTGAACCAGAAAGGTCAATTGGTCAGAAAGACCTGGAGGATTGAGACAGATAGTACTCGGTTGTTGGAAAGCCTGAAGGTTTGCGTTTGTGATGGTCGTCATGATCATTTGCCATCCAAGGAAGTCAATTGGAAGGAAACGCAACACTACCCCAGGAGATTTTGCGAGCTAATCCTTAAAGGATTTAAAGCCGAATTAGAATCATAATAGCCAAGTAAGTCTTGCACGTTGTTTGAGCCGAATGGCACGTTTTTGCGAGCACTTTCGATTGCGCATTTCGAAAGAATCTTGGTTTTTGCAGACTGTGAGATACAGCTTTTCTTGGAATGAAGCTTATACCATCCGAGGTATGATGCCGGACGCGGAAACGGCGCTTGCGATGCTGAGCCTGGAAGCAGCGACCGCTTTGGTCTTTGCAGCCGGTTTTCTTTTGGGATGCCTGCTGACCTGCTGCTGCCTGCGGTGTCGGAAGCATGCTGAGCCTGAGAGCCAAGTGACTTTTAAAGTCGATATGCCGAAGAGCTATCCAGTTCCAAAAGGCATTGAGCAATGCTCAAAAGTATATTTTTCAGTGAGTGGGAGCAAGGTTCATTTGAACCCAACTTGCTCGGGCATGCACGTACCTATGTCGAAAGATATTTGTGCCAAATGTCTGTCCTCATTGAAGAAGAATAAGAAGGCTTAAAGCCAGCCAGTTCGTTTCGAGCTTTGTGTCCAAGAGGGGGCGAAGAAATTCCATGCCGGGATGTCCACCTCGCTCGATGCTTGCAGTTTGCGACGCATAAACTTCGTTTAAGTTTGTTTGTGAAAGATTTGGAACCTGGCGGTAGTACAACATTTTGTTTCTTTATTGTTTGAAAGCGACTTGTAGCGTAGTCGGAAGTTTTGAGAGTTCTTTGTGTGTGGAGATGCTTTAAGAGACTTTTAATATGTTTTCGTGTATTCTTTGTATAGTTTAGTGCTACGGGATATGTTTTGGCTCAAGGCCAATTCGTTTGGCTAGGGTGAGAAAAGGGTGCGAGTGTCTGAGAGCAGCTTGTGCAGCGTTTGAAGTTTTCCGAAGTATTCGGAGGTTTGAGAGAAAGGTTTCGTACCGTATCGGACGAGTGTGAGAGCCTGTTGTGAGCTAAAGATCCAGGGGAGGTAGGTAGTCTACCGTATAAGGTTGCTACCCGGAGTTTTTCGTACTTGGTGGTGGAGTCTCGGCCTGTGGGCTGTGGTTGGTTTTGTTTTGTTTGTTGTTGGGTTGTCTTTGTCCTTTTCTCCACCATCTGACTGTATTTCCCTTCCTTCAATGATGACCTGGGCACCATGCCCACACGGCGTCCGTACTCGTGGAAAAAAAACCTCACTGCGGGGGAGGTGGTGAATTGCTTGCTGCTGCTCTTACCCTCTCGTTGCCACCGCTTGCCTGATGCAAGTCTTCGTAGTGTCCTCTTTTTGGTTTTCCTGGCAATTATTGCAAGCCTCAATTGCACGTCAAGTGGAATAATTTCAGGGACTGTTGTGAGAGGTCAGGCATCAATCCTGAACCTCCTGCCACTTCTCGCTTGTCCAGGGTCTTTGCTCCACATGGCTGCGAGGCTGCAATGCCCGCTGTCACTCCTGCCTTTATCCCCGACAGGTATCCCAACGCCCAAGCCAAGGACAAGAGCAGATTGAAATTTTGTCCCGCATGCGTGAGGAGTTCTCAACACTGAATTGGTCACCTTGAAATTTACTCACATGGTCTATGGCGCGTGCGCATTCTTTGACACAAGTTGTGTCGTGCCCAGCCCCGAACGGACCCAAAAAGAACCTGATTTGAACCTCACTCTTGTCTTTCAGTCTCGCTCATGCACACTGATTTGCATTGCATCTGCTGTGGGTACCTGCCAGCCAACAAGCAGAATGCAGTCTCGTCCTGGACGTCCTGTACTGAGAGAGCAGCTTGAAAGGAATTCATCGCCCCTTTCACTTCTGTGTTTGGTCTTCGGATCTGCACCTTTTGCTTTTACGTCTTGAGCGGACATGAGCCTGATCTGCTTGGTTTTTGTGGTTGGTTTGGGTTGGTTTTGGTGTTTTGTTGTTGGGTTGTGGGTGTTTTGGTCCTTTTGGTTCCTTTGCTTCCTTTGGTCAGGCTCATTTCCTCGCACCCCTCATCGACTCCGGCTCATCCTCACGTCGCAAACTCACCTCACTGAGGGAGAAAGAGCGCTGCTGGATGAGCAGCACCCAGCGCACGGAAAGAAACATCACAGTGGCCTGTTATTTGGCTGTGCAGCTGACCGAAGCACAGAGCCAGATTGGTGTGTTTTGCCTGTGAATTCATCACGGTGACTTGTGCCTCTCGCACACACCCCGTGCAAAAAAAAATCGTTCGTTGGCAAAAAGCGCGACCTGGCGAGGCACGCACTCTCGAGCCAATGCTTTTCTCCGGTGTGACAATCTTGACCTGCCAAAATGGGTTCGTTGGCTCCCACGCAGCCAAAGAGATGAGGACCAATGGGCTGATGACTCCGTTGCAGTTCTCAATCCGGGGTACATGTCCAGAGCTACACATAGCTGAGCGTTTTTGCTGGCACCTGTGTGTTGGCCCTATCCACATTAGAGGCCACCTCAGTTGAGCACCCTAGAGCACCCTAATGAGCAAGCTGCCCATAAAGAAACGCCAAATGTGACTTCGGTAAATGCTAGTAACCAGGACTATGATGACAAGAGGACCAATAGACACACGTTATCACGTGCATGCGCTTTAATCCGCGTATGCAAATACTTGCTAACATCCGCAAGCTAGCCTCTTAGGCGCACCCGTGTGCTGTTCCTAAGAGTGCCAGTTGCTCTTCGTTTGATCTCTGCTTTCGATGGCCTGAATAGTTAGACAGTGCCCAGGCTGCTACCCGCGTAGTGGTTCTGGATGGGTACAGTGTACAGAGTTTGGAAAACGGCGTCTCACTTTGTCTCACCTGTTTTCGAGTAGTTTATGGGGCCTTGCATGTATCGGCCATACCCAGCCTGGCCGCGTTTGAAAGGAATGTCAAATGCCTGACTACATCACTTTTGCAGCGCCCATGCCATGGAGCCTGCTCACATCAACTTGTGTCATCCAAGGAGCATGTTTCGCCCCACTCCCGTTGCTAAGCCGTTTTGGAGTCGGGGCTGGTCTGACACGCTCCCTTTGCTGCCTCCCCCCCTTGGGGGGAGTGTAGCCTCTTTTTGGACACTCGCCTAGTGGCTCCACACTGTCTTTCGTCATCGGTATTTTGGAGATTCCGAGTGCGAAGACTGTGGTCTTCCCTCCGCTGTCACTCCTTGGCTTGTATGAGGCTGGTCGCTTCCTGCTGCAAAGCAGTCTGCTTGACACATGTTGCGAAAATGATCCGATTTTGCCATGCGGGGATCAACCTGTGAGATACGCATTAGATCCTGCCGTGTGCTCTTCAAGGGAGCACTACTTCGAAAACTGACTGTGCGAAGTGCCTGTTGAGGGAGATCTCTTAAGTCTCCCTCTGCCTGAACAAGATCATGCGTTGAAGTGCTCAGTGGTACGTGAATTTGCTAAAGGACAAGATCTACTGAGCGCCTCGCGTAATTCGCTGCCCGTTTCACCGCTCTTCACCATGCCTACGTGGCCATGCGAGTTGCGTAACAGGTTGCTCCTCCCCTTGTCTCCTTTGGGGGGTTGGTTTTGTTGTTTGGTTCTGTTTGGTTGTTGGCGGTTTGGGGGTTCTCTTCTTGCGGTTGGTATGCAACCTGTACAGCAACTCCTTCTTAACTCGAACTAGGTGACTTGTGCAGATCCTGCACACATAGCGCCTCGACTCGTGCAAAAAAAGCTGTATTCGATTTTGACTGGGTTGTTGAGTGGAAAACCATTGAGGATCCTTCGTCAAGTGTCAGATCGAAACGGTCTAGAGGTATATCGCCAGTTGGTTCAGTTGTACAAGCCGCAAACGAAGAGCAGATCCATTTCTTTGCTTTCTGCATTGATGAACTTGCCGCCATTTGTGAAGGACAAAACCTTGCTGGAACAGGTCCTTGGCATCGAGCGCCTTCGAGACGAATACCGACGCTCGAGTGGAGGTGAGGTTTCAGATGATTTGATGCTTTCAGTACTGGTGAAGGCTCTTCCAAGACACATCCGGCAGCACATTCAGCTGCAGTTGTCGGAGTCTTCACGGTTTGGTTGTTGGCTATGAGTCCGTGACAACCAGCTGGGCTCCTTCGAAGATCCACATGGAACTTGGCATTGTTGGCGATTCTTCCCAAGCCTCTTTCGGCGGTCCATCCCCCATGGAGATTGATTTAGTATCAAAAGGAAAGGGCAAAGGGAAAAAAGGCAAAGGAAAAGATACGAATTCAAAGGGAAAAGGCAAACAGCAATCCAAAGGTGGCAAAACTGGCAAAGGTAAAGACTCCTCTTCCAAAGGAAAAGGAACAGGCCAGACTCAGTCCTCCGATGTTTGCTTGTTTTGTGGTAAGAAGGGTCATTGGAAACGAGACTGCTGGGCTTTGAACGGTAAGCCGAGCGGAAAGAAAAGTGTGAACGCGGTCACGAGTGACGACAGCATCTCCCAAACAGATGCCACTTCGACCGCATCGACAAGCCCACCTGCTTCTTCAGTTGGCGCTCCATCCACCAAAGCTGTTCGAGTGATCTCTGCTCTGAGTGAGCCTTTGATCGAGGAAGTGTTTGAGGACGAAGATGATAGCTTTGAGCTCTACGATCTCACCAGCCATGATGCAGATTTTCATGGTTCGTGCAACGTTGTCTCACATGTAGATCCTTTCCATCCTGGCGCTAGTGATTTCACTCAGGACTCAGAGACTGATTTGGCAAATTTGGCATACATGCATTTCGATTCGTTCGACTCGAGGGACTTTGCATCGAGGGATTTTGCATTACACCGTGACTCGTTCGATTCGAGAGCTTTTGCATCGACTGTTGAGCATTTCGACATGACATATAGTGACGATGATTTAGTCTGGACGCTTTTCCATGATGACTGTTTGTCCATGCACCATGTTCGAGCCATTGGAGAACGTGGACCTCCAGGTACTGCTGTGGAGATTGTGCTGGACTCAGGAGCTGACGGAAGCGTTTTGCCTCTGGAGTATGCGACTGTTGGTGAGCCTGATCGAGAGACAGGTGACTTTTGTTATGTCGATGCTCAAGGAAAACCCATCGCTGTCAAGACTGTGAGAGTAGCTGAACTTCATTTTGGCAACGTTGCATTTAAAGAACGGTTCATTGTTGCAAAGGTCACGACACCATTGATTTCTATGGGACGTCTTTTGAGGAGTGGCTGGAGTGTAGCAAATGGTAAGAGAAATTCGTTGTGTGCTTATGGAAACATCAGGATGATGACCAGTGAGGATGAGACCTCAAACACGCACCATGTCCGTGCCCTCACCCTCGGTCCTGCACTTTCGAATCTAGCTTCAGGTTGGAACCAGCCCAGATCGTGTAATGTGGCTGCGAACGACACTTGTGAAACTTGTTGACGGCGAATGGCTTCTTGATGAGTCAGGCGTGACAACGAGCCTGCTTGTTTGAGCCTTCTAGAAGCAGTACGTAGAACGTGTAGAGCATTGGGCATCGCTGCGTTGGGTGAGCCCATTGTTCCAGAAAGCCACCAGTCCAACGGTGGTGCTGAGACCACAGTGAACGTTTTGAGACAACAAGCTGGCCTCTTAGTAAATCAGATTGAGCAGTCCTTGGCTCTCATTGGCTGCCAACACCCTATCCACATGTGGGCTCTTCTTCACGCAAGCTGGATTCACAATCGTTTTTGCCGTGCGCCAAGGGCAAACTGCATATGAACGATGCTGTGACCGGATGTACACAGGCCGTGTTTGCATGTTCGGAGAAACCGTCTTCGGATATTTGAAGACCAGCTTGAAAGGTGCCCCACGATGGACGAAAGGTGTTTGGCTCGGCAAGACATTGAGTAATGATTGTCATATCATCAGCACACCTGGAAGCTGTGCGCAATGTTCCACCTACACCTGATGAACATCCTTTTCCCCCTGTTGGAGGACGTGTTGTTGATGAAGAGGCTGAAGCTGTTCGAAACGTGCCTCCAACACCTGATGAGCGAGTGTTGGAATCAGATTCAGTTCGAGGTGAAGTTAGACTTCGCCCCAGCATGTCTGAGCCTGCGGTGAGCGTGAAGATTTGTTCTCACCTGCCTCCAGCTCTTTGACCACCCGTCTTCTTCCCACTTTGTACTTGAAGTGGCGTTCACAGGGGTTTGTTCTTGCTGCACTTGATGTTGCTGATGCTTTCTTGACAGTGCCTCAACGGACACCCACTGTTGTCACATGTACTACGGCCAGTGGCCAGTCATGGGAATATGCTCTAGGTAAAGTGCTGCCTGGACAGAGAGACGGAGGCCAGTTGTGGTGTGAGTCGATCACTGAGTTGTTGGAAAGAGACCTTGGTGTAAAGCCTTGTCCCGCCTATCCGTGTTTGCTTAAGAGCAGTTGTGGTCGTTGCGTCATGCTTTTGCATGTTGATGATATCCTGTGTCTTGTGCACGAGGATTTTCTGCAAGCCAAGTTGTTGCCTACCTTTGAGGCGCGCTATAAAGTAGCCGTAGAAGTCATGAGAGAGCCTGGTGATGAAATCTGTTTCTTGAAACGAACGCACATGTTGAGATCAGAACACGAGATGGTAAGTCAAGGACATCCCAAGCACTTGGAACATTTGTTTGAGATCCTGAAGATTGCCCGCCACCTCAAACCGAAGAAGGTCCCAGGCCATCCTAGTCTCGAAGACATAGATGGTTCTGAGGATTTGAATGCAAAAGATGCCAAAACCTATAGATCCGCCGTAGGTGTGCTTCTTTCTACACATATCGATAGATTGTGTAGAGTGCCAACATGTAATTCGAGCCCTTGCGCAACACATGTCTCGCCCCACGGAGATGAGCATGCTGTTTTTGAGACACCTTGTTCAGTACCTTCTTGGCTGTGTTGACCAGGCAATTTGCTTGAAGTTCAAACACGAACACGGTGTGCATCACTATGTAGGAGACCAAAACGTCTTGGAGATTTTCACTGATAGTGATTGGGCAAGCCACAAAGCCACTAGACGTTTTACCACGGATGTCTCTTGCACTCATCCAGTCGAAGCCAAAGAGTGGTTGCACTTTCGTCGGCCGAGGCCGAACTCTACAGTGCTGTCTCAGCCAGTTGTAATGCATTGCTTTTGAAACATGCCTATGTTTTGCCCTGAGTGTGGAAAGCTTGATCTTGAAATTGTACATCGACAGTTCTGCTGCTAAGCAGATCTTGAGACGCCAAGGTGTCGGCAAAGTCAGACACCTCTCGACGCGGTGCCTCTGGGTTCAGGGTCATGTGAAGAGTCGAATCATTCAGGTGAATTCGGTCCCCACTAAGTGGAATGTTTCCGACATTGGTACAAAGAGATTGCATCGTGACCGGATGAGACTTTTGAACTTTTGATGAACTTGTGTGGCAGTTTCGACCAAGCCGAAGATGTTTGTGTAGGACAAGATGTGTGTGACAACACTTTAGAGCGTGAAGTAATTTCACATGAAATCAAGCAGATTCGGCAGTGCGGTTTCAATTCTTCTGGTGCCAAGCGTATCCTGAACATTGTTCTTGCAATGAGCGCCTTGGGTCAATCTTTTGGCGCGGCTGACACGTGCAGTGCTCTGGAAAGCCCTGCGTGCATGTCCAGAGAGCCTTGGAAACGAAGATTTCGCTTGGAGCTGGATCAGCATTTTTGCTTTGGTGCTGTTCACGATGAGCCTGCTTTGCTAAGTTTGTGCCTTGGCATGGAAGAAAGGAATTTTTCCTTGATGAATCGAAGGGAGATTGAACTTGAGAACAGCTATAGTAGCTATAGTGAACCGGACAATGAACCAATTTCGGCTATGGACTTGCCGGAAGATCAAGTGCCTCCACTTTTGCTGAGTGGAGTCCAGAAGCTATGATTGAGTTTGTGACGAATCGCATCCATCGAAGACTTGCTCGACCGGACATTCGAGCAGATGCAAGAGTGAGCGCTCGATTGTGGAATCAGCATTCCATTTTGCTTTCGGTAGACCTGCTTGGCGAATGAGAATGACAACGGAGTGAGAAGACGTGCTTTGGATATGATGCTGAATATCACCGATATCTCTCCCTCCTCTTCTGAGCTGCAGCCTCGTGATGACGCAAATGATGATGTAAATGCTGAGAGTGAAGGCTATGATAGCAGTGAGCCAAGAGGCGATGTTTCCACAATGAGCCAGACAAGCGATCCTGATGGATGGATCGAGCGACACTATTAGATGTAAGTGTCACGAAATGATCGACAACCCTTTGCTTTAGGAGCTTTAGATGAAGCTCTTGTCGATCCATGTTGTTCCGCTTATGAGCGAGCAAACCACCTCCATGAAAAGAGACAAACTGAATGTGCGAAGCTTATTTTGATCCACAAACGCCTACGCGGTATGTCTATGTATACATGTACAACTGCCATCAAATGACCTACACAAGACATGTACATCTAGGGATAAATTTCTTCACCCCGCCTCCACATTTGCATATCTCTCTATGCACATGTGGACACAAGGGCTGCATCCCTTTGTCTCCGTCGCAACTGCGGTTCATTGCCAGGCGCGTCTGGTGTTTTGGTGTTGCGTGGGACGTGCAGGACTGTGACCCTCTGTTGGTCTTGCGGGCGATGTCCTCAAGCAGATCCTGGAAGGGTTGGCCTTTGTGCTGTTGGTGCCAGGCTTCCCATACTGAGGCCAGTTGGACAATGACCCTCACTGGTTCAGCGGTGTACTTTGCTAAAGCCACGAGCCCTGCGAAGAGTGCCCTTGCCTTTGTTTGGTAGCCTGTTGGGATGCCGGTGATGGCTCCAAGTCTGGCCCAGGCTGAGGGTGTCGACGCAGAGACCGTAGACCCACATCTGGCTGCTAAATCCCGTGGGTCAGGGGGCTTTAGGGAAAAGTAATTTTCAAAAAGAACTTTTCCTGGGGAAGTAGAGGATTTCAAGTACCTTCTTTTACCAGCCATCTCTAGTAGGGTGAAATCACATAGGTTGCAACCTTTTTGAAAATCAAAAAACACATGGTTTTGTCTAACGTTAATGGATTTCTACGACGTTTTCTTTTGAATTCTGTGTGAGATTGCTTCTCTTACCAGCCAATACCAGCCATCTCTGGGCCATTGAGATCACATATTTGATCGAAAACCATTGAAATCTCATAGAAGGCCTAGTTTTAGCCGTTTTAGCGACGTTTTTCCTTGAATTCTGTGTGAGATTGCTTCTCCTACCAGCCAATACCAGCCATCTTTGGGCCATTGAGATTACATAATTGATCCAAAACCACCAAAATCTCTTAAACAGATCGTTAGATATGTGTTTTCATAGTTTCTAGGAATAGATTACTTTTTTTCATGGAAATTCCAGCAAGACCAGTCAGTCAAAAAGTAAGTCACCCAGGCCGGAATCCAACCTACAAGCAGTTGACTCCGACCTAATAGCCGGCGATGGCCTCCAACTTACCAGCAATCTAACCTAATAGCGATGGCCTCCAACCCAACACCTCCGGTCCAACCTACAAGCAGCGGCCTCCAACCTAACAGAGATGGCCTCCAACCTAATAGCAATGACCTGCAACTTACAAGCAATGGCCTCCAACCTACTAGCAATGCGGTGTGCACAGGTCATCTTTGCAAAAGGTACGGAACGAATTCCAACAAAACCACTCGCAGAGGGTGAACGTCTTGCATAAAAAGTGAAACCCCCCTCCTTGTGCTTTGCCCTCCCTGTGGAATTGCAAGAGTTGAACAGACATGTTGATCTCAAATGCTGTTTGTTTTTGAGCAACCACACACTGCCAAGTCATGGCAGGATCCGTCTGTCACAGGAGTTGCCAAGATGCCAGAGGTGAGCCAGATCATTGTTGACCAGTGCATGTTTGGTTTGAGAGATGTTCAAAACCGGAAACTGCATGGGAAACGAACCAAACTTTTGACAAACAGCACACATGTTGCCAGCCGCATGTCGAGGTTGTGTGATGGTGGACATTCTCATCAACACGTTTTTTTTGGGTCAGTCAAAGCGGAAGAGGGTTGGAAACGATCGGCGCTTGCAGGAATATCCTAGGAGGGAATATCCTAGGAGGTTCTGTGAAGAGTTGTTGTTGAGTCTGCAAGATGATGAACAAACGCAACTACAGAGTCATGCTGTGCATTGTGTGTTGACGATCGAAACGCTAAACACGCAAGACGAAAAGACACTTGTGTGTTTGCGAAGCGCTGTCATGAGAACTTAGGACATCCATCAACACCAAAGTTCATCGCAATGTGAAAGCAGCTCGAGCAATTGAAACATGTATCAAGTTGGCAGCGGGTTGACTTGCGCAACATGTCGTGAAAGTCAGGGTGAGAAGAGTCACAACGTCTCCAAGGCGACCAAGGACTTGCAGTTCAACGACCTTGTGTGTGTTGATACTTTTGAAGTTGAGTTGACGCATAAGAAGATGAAGTTCCTCGACATCGTGGACATTGGAACAAGATACCAACTGTGTGCACCGTTGTGGAAAGGCATTGGTGCGCAAGTCATACAGGAGGTTGGAAACGTTGGGCAGGTGCTCCCAGACTCGTGGTCAGTGATGGTGGACCGGAGTTTGGAGCAGCGAGGACAGATCACCTTGCCAATGATGGCACAGAACACACTGTGACAGCAGCATATGCACCATGGCAGAATGGCGTGTGTGAAAGACTTGGTGGAGCATGGAAGGTTGCTTTCAGTAGAGCCGTGTTGGAACTGGACCCGAAGACAAAGGAGAAGATTGAGGAGTTGAGTGATCAGTTGAATTGTGCTCACAACACTTTGACGAGACATGATGGACACTCTCCCCAACAACATGTGATGGGAACTGATGTCAGGGCACCAGTGTTGGGCATGATTGGTGAGAATGATGAAACGCTTGACTCAGCTCTGAATGAGAAAGATACGTGAAAGTTCAGAGAGTTAGAATTGCCGCCAAAAAGGCATTTCTTGACATGGAAAGTGAGACCAGACTCAGAAGAGCTGTCAGTCATAGAAACAGATCCAATCGGGGTGGTGATCACACCACTGGCATGGACCAGGTCGAGTGATTTGTGCCCAGACAGACAAGAAAGCATGTTGACAATGAGGTACTTGAACTTGCGTCGTGGTTGCCAGTGACATGGAGAACTTGGAAGAGCATTGTTCGAGAACGAGGAGATGTTGAGATGTCGCCAGTTGATCCTTCACCTGAGTTGGAGGAAAACGCACAAGAAGGTACAGAGCCTATGGAAGTAGGGGGGAGACACTCCGGAAGGTGCAGCGCCAGCAGGACACACGTCAGTACCTAGCATGGAACCACAAAGCGAACCAGGACTCGGTGATGACAGCGTGAGGGACCAGGAAATCAGGACAATAGTGGAGGTATGGACGGACAAGTGGACCAGAACATGTGGACTCAGGAGAACACGGACTATGGACCGATTCGGACTTTCATGTTGACCCATGCCATGAGGAACAGTTTAAACCAACTTGATTTTGGGAGACCCTTGCGCCGCAGGAATGATTCGGAAGTCATGCATGCTGAACATCAAAAAGGGATGGATAGTTTTTCATAAGAGAAGGGTACTGGTGATCAGAAGAGTAGGAAAGTGAAACACAGAGAACTGAGCGTGAAGGAACTTTCCCCCAACAAGAAGATTGAACTTGACGCCGCGAAAAGCAAAGAATGGGGTAAAATAATTAAGTCAGGAGCGATGGTTGTCCATGTTGGTGAAAGTGCCAGGAAGTTGGAACGAGAGGTAGGAATCTGGGTTCGTGTATCCCTCTCATGCCACGCGTGAAGGTGTGTTGAAAGCTAGGTGGTGCATCAAAGGGTATTTGGACCCAGACATCCTAGATGTTCAAACTGCTTCTCCCACGTTGAGCAACGAAGGCTTCTCAGTGGCATTGCAGCTACTGGCAAGTCATAAATGGAAGATGACAATCGCCGACATCGAAGGAGCGTTCCTTCGAGGAGACACAATCAACAGAAAGAATGGTAGAATTCTCGTACGTCTTCCAAAAGACGGAGTGCCAGACATTGAGCAAAGTGCTGTGTGTGAGCTTATCAAACCAGTCTACGGATTGGTAGATGCTCCAAAGCTGTGGTGGGACTCTTTGACAAAGTCGTTGAGAGAACTCAACATGGTGCAGTCGCAGCTTGACAGTTGTTTTACAGCAGGGACTCGGCAGGATCCTTAGATGGAGTGATAGCGTTTCACGTGGACGATTTGTGAATTGGTGGTAGTGAAACATTTGTTCGTGAGAAATTCGATCGATTGAAACAGAAATATCTTTTCAAACATGTGAAGTATTCTGAAGGTGAATCTTTAGGTAAAGTTCTGAAACAGCATGAAGATGGTAGGATTGTGGTGCAACAAAAAGAATACGCCGAGACACTTGAGTGCATTCCCACTAGTAAGGAAAGAAGACGTGAGAGAAACCGTGAAACGACCCCAAAAGAGAAGACGCAAATGAGAGGTGTGCTTGGTGAAGCGCAGTGGTTGGTGACTGGGTCACGACCTGACCTAGCAGCAGGGCTTTCACTCATGCAGCAAAAGATGCATCACTGGAGATCACAGTGAAATCACTGGAGCCTAGATCCATTGAGTTTGCAGCTTGGTCAGACGCCAGCTTTGCCAATGCCGAATCCTTGAAGAGTCAGGGAGGCTACATGGTGTGTGCCGTCGAGCCTAGCCTGAGGAGACTGGGAGAGTGGTCGAACCTTTCTCCACTGAGATGGAGAAGCTACAAACAAGACCGGCAGGTTGCATCGACCTTAGGAGCTGAATTGATGACCTTGTCTCGCACCATTGCGGAGAGCAAGTGGATCCGTTCTCTATGGACTGAGGCAATGGAGCCTGGATACTCTTTGAAAGAGGATCTCATGTGGTGCAGTCGAACTCCAATTACCATTTCGGTGGACTCACGACCCGTCTTTGACCATCTCAATGGCCAGCTGATGACTATCAAAGACAAAAGAATGGCCATAGAAATGCTCCTGGTGAAGCGAGATGTTTTGAAGCAGAACGTGAATGTGAAGTGGCTGCCTACAGATCACGAAGTTGGGAGCTAAAATGGATCTCCTCAGAAAGGTGCTACAATTCGGAAAGAAGAGATTGAAGGAAGACCCAACTATCCTACGATGGATAGGAAAAGCACCAAAGAGAGGATGATCGGAGTGTTTCGTGGTGTTTTTGTTTGTTTGGTGATGTTGAAAAGAAGTGAGATCCCGACAAGAAGAAAGCGAGAATCAAAAAGGGATGTGTGAAAACCATGGAACATTGTGGCACAAGCCCCCCTTAAGCTTTGGTGAGAAAACATGTGTTGCCGAAGCCATGGACCATAGACGGACTCGACCTTCTTGAGTTTGTCAACCAACCAAATGTCACCAACCACCAACCAATTGTCATCAACGAAGTGTCGCCAACCAATTTTGATTTGCTTGCAAATTCTTCTCCACAAATGGGATGTGTGGCTGGCGCTGCTGGGTCTCTGCCACTGTTCCGCTGTGATTTGCTGGTGCAAAAAAACTGAATGTTTACAGGGTTTTGTGGGCGTGGAAGATCCACAATTTGGATGGCAAAATGTGAAAACCGTGGGTTTTGCAAGGGGGTGTCGGCGCCTGCGCGTTTTGACAAATGGCGCAAAATGTGCTCCAAGATGAGATTGGTTGGTGGCAATTGTTGGTGGCATTTGTTGGTGGCAATTGGTTGGTGACAATTGGTTGGTGACAATTAGTTGGTAGCAATTGGTTGCAATTGGTGGGTGGCAACTGCTTGTGGGTGGCAATTGGTTGATGACAACTGGCTGGTGACCATGACAATCAGTTGGTGGCAATTGGTTGGTGACAGTTGGTTGGTGGCAGTTGGTTGGTGACAACTGGTTGGTAGGTCTCTTCTGAAAAGCTTGTTTTTCCAAACAACATATCACCACCCACCAGTTTCTCCCAACAATCTGAGGCTGCATGTCCTCTTTTCCCACAGTGTTTGCAGCGCTTTGGTGGGGGCACTTGGTCTTGAAATGGCATGGGCCTGTCTGCTGAACTTGCACCAAGGAGAATATCTGAACACGGACGCGCAAGCTTTTGATCCCGCTCAATTGAGCCAAAGTCACAGTCGGTTCAGACTGTCTCAAACTGTTCAGAAGCTTCTGAACTCTTCTCTGCAGTTGACTGTTCGCAGTCTTCTGAAATTGTAGAACCGGATAACCCACATGTTCACAACTTCACCAGACACAGGAGCGGAGAATTGGTGGTTGGTGGGTGACAATTGGTTGGGGCAGTTTGGCAGTTGGTTGGTGGCAGTTTGTGGGTGGAAGTTTGTTGGTGGCAATTGGTTGGTGGCAATTTCCTGGTGGCAATGGATGGACCAACAGAGGCCCCGAGATTGGTCGAAGATGGATGAACATTGCTCCAAGATGGCCTGACATAGGCAAGATGGCCCAACATGGGCCCAAGAGGGGCCCAACATAGGCCCCAGAGGGCACAACACAAGGGCCAAGTTGGGCCAACATGGGCCCAAGATGGGCCAACAACAATCAGCAGCTCTGGCGATGCAGTGACTGAGTTTACATCAGGAGTCGTGCTGTCCAAGGTTCTCCCATTAGAAGCAAGGCTTGTTTCAACTGCAGAGATTTTGGGCATATGCAAGAGATGGTGAAGAAGACAGCAACAGCGAAATTGAAAACGCAGACAGAAACCCAAATCTGATAGAAAACAGGACCAGATCACCTTTAGGAACCTGCAAACCCTCACTTCCTTGCATGCTCATTTTCGTGGCTGCGGCTTTGCTGGGTTGAGGTTGTAGAGGTGGTTGACAGATCCATTTTGTCTCATGGTGCCGAATGTTGGGCATTTGGCCCTAGAGCAGCATTGTGAAAGGGTCTGCTGCGCTGTCCATGTGTTTTCACAGTGGTGGTTGCAAGTGTTGTGGTTGTTGTGGAAGATGTGGCGGGTGCTCTTGCAGTCGAAATTGTCTGGAGGTTCCGAAGCGTTGTTCCGGTGGCTTGGTTCGCTTGGCCCTTGTCGACCTTTTGAGCCTTTCAGGTTTTTGGGTGCCACTCAACGCCCGCTGAGCGGTGCAGTTGCGACCGAAAAACAATCCTGCAAGTCTGTTCTGGAAGCAGGGAGTGTGTGAATGTTGCGCGGGCCGAAATTGTAAAAATGTTTTTTCGATCTGTCGCCACGAACTTCTGTCCAAGAGTGTCTGCTGAAAATGTTGTTGCAAGCGGAGAGACTTGTTCAAAGTCTGATTGTGCAGAAGACAGAGTACGATTGGCAGTGTGGATGGCATGTGTCGGTTGAGTCGTTGAGGTCACCTGCGTGTGGTGCCCTTCCTGGTGTTCTGAGTAAAAGGTGCTGACCACGAAAATGGGCCAGTTCCACATGGAGACAGTTGGGCAGTTGAACTTGGAATGTAGGTTTCAAGCTTTTGCTCTTGAATGCCTGTATGAAGGGCCTCGGGGAGTCAACGCTGAGCATCGGTTCAAACTCGTCAGGCGCAGGGTAAATGGAGGCCAAATTGCTTGGACCTGACAAAGCAGGCAAACCTCCAGGTCACCTCCGATCAGACTCAACTGTTGCCGTAAGAAACTCTAGTGTGGACACACTGTTTGGGGAACAAACACCTCTTGCATGGACATTGGTGCAAAACATTTTTTGCAAAATGAGACGCAAACAACAAACAGTTCAACATTGGCTGGTTTGTATTTGCGTTGTGAATTGGCCTGTAAAGCACAGTTGTTATTGTTTCTTTTGCATAGCAATCTTGTCAGTGAATTTTAATGTTGGATTTGCGAAGGCTGCTAGCTCATCGAACGATGTGTGTCCAAGTTGAGTGGCGACGCAGTTGAAACACATGGAAGGCAGTGCAACCGACCATAATCCACCAACCCGATAATCTTCGTTCCAAGGTGGCTCGACCATAGCCACCCTACCCTGGAGGGGGCAAGGGTAATAATAGTAAGATGTTGTTTTCAAGGGCGTCCTGTTTTGGCCTGCTTGATTCAACGGTTGCTTGGAACCAACATTTCAATTGTTTGGTTTGTTTGATTGTAGTTTTTTTTTTCCAAACCGCTTTATGCTTCGTTTGAACCAGCATCGCCTTTGGGCACAAATTTAGCGATTGGAAGGGCCATGGACGACGGCAGAACACTCAGTCAATTGTGGCTAGGCTAAGAATGTTTTGCAATTGAGTCGAAATTTCCTTGAGGAGGAGGACATGTGTATGCAATACGAGAGGCATTGAGGGACTTCACATTTTTCCACTTGACACGGAAATACCATTTGCATGACGATCAATTTTATGTGCTTTTCAGTTAGTTATGTGCTTCTTGGTCAGGGTTTTCGCATCAACTGGATGAATATGCGTGATGCAGCTACTGGACAAGGTGCTCCTGTTTGTGTTGTTCGTTGTACATTGCTTGATTCTTTTGCAGTTATGTGGGAAAGCGGCGAATGGGACTGCGGTCAAGATGAAATGGAGGACCGCCACGTTTGTTGTGGAAGAACTTGCGTGGAGTTTCTGCAACTTATTCAAGTGAAAGTCTCGTGCAATGTCAGGCGCAAATACCAAGAGAGATTCTAAAATGCAGACAGGCCATGTGTAGAAAGAGGGTTTGAATGCCACGAAGTGGAAAGAAATGAGTTGTTTTAATAATACTTCTTTTTTGTAGGTGTCCCGGGAGCTGAATTTTTCCTCCTTGGAAGTGATGACCAGCCTGCGACTGGTACAGTCGGTGTGATTCTGAGGCAATTGTCGGAGGGAATGCTTGAATGAATGCGGACAGTTGTATACTGCTCAGGTAATTTTCAAAGGCGAACCTTTGGAAGAGGCTTATTTGAAAGACAGGGGGTCCAATGATTGTCCAATCAACATGATCCTTATGCGAAAGAACGCGATTTGAGGAATGGAACTTCCATTTTGGCTTTGTCATACCCAATTCGACAAACACTTGGCAGCAGACCATTGAGGCTGGATTTAGTCTTTCAGTCTCACTTTTTGTGAGTCTCACCGAGGTGCTGTGAGCAGGTTGCCAAAGTGCCACATAGAGAGATAGAGCGATAGAGAGATAGAGAGATAGAGAGGGAGCGTTAGTGCGAGAGAGTGAAAGCGAGAGTGAGACCGAGAGAGTCCTTGAGAGTAAGAATGAGATAGAGTATGAGACCGAGAGAGAGGGTTGGTGCCGGTGATCTCCATCAAAAGTCTTTCAACAAGGCTGCTGAGGAGGAAGAAATGTTGCCTGCTGAATTGCTGCCCGCCGCTCACAACGGCAGATTTGTATTTTGGTTCAATGTGTGCGACTAAGGTCTGGCAACGTTGTGATTGAGACGACCTTCTTCGATGGTGACTACCCCATCATGACCCAAAGGGTGCACGCCTCGGATGCACAATTTTTCGCGGTTTGTGGCACAAAGCCCAGGTACGAATATGGTATGTGTGAGACTGGCTTTATCAACATGCAGAAGGAACTAGGGCATGCCGTGCACAAAGTGCAGCATGCATGTTTCTTGTTTGAGGCATAGGGCATAGTCTTTTTTGTGTTTTGCAAATCACTTGATGCCACTATCACCAGATTATGCCTAGTAAGCAGCAGAAGGTTTGGGATAAAATTCCCACCACCTTCGGAAGCATCAGATTGTGCAAATGAACCTCGCTGCAGCAGCGAACGTCAAGTCCCAGCCCTATGCTGGATTCAAAAGTGTGATGCAGAGGCAATCCTCATGCGCTTCGGCAGGTTTGGAATTAGAGGATTGATCTCAAAGAGGTGAGGTATTGGTCACTTCACGAGTTTCGGAGAACTTGCTTGGAACGAAGCTGTACTTTCTGCGTGCTTCAAGCATTTGTGGACATTTTGCAATTGACACCGTAGAGCATCCCCTTGGCAGACCATGGGGAGGAAGGAGAGAATGTGACAAAAAGAGCAGCACGATTAATGAGTAATCATTCATGAATTGTGATCATGCGACAATTTTTTAGAACTTGGCAGGAGGATGAGAAGCGTAAAGCCAAGGCAAAAGCCAAAGCAGCAGGTGTGGAGTTGCAAGCAGTTGTGAGTTGTGAGTGCCAAGTTCAGTTTTGTGAGTCTTGAGGAAAGAAAGGCGGCAATTCAGCTCTTGTAGATAAAGATGCTCGGCCAGTGATTATTTCAGCTGAAGCAAATGTTTTAGATTCCAAGCTTGTAGCTTGCTGTAGGTTCAGAAGGAGGCCATGCTGAAAGGTAATGTCAAGAGAGCCGCAGTGCCTTGGTGATGAAACGGAGTTCCGTTTGAACATGGAGACCGCTTTTGCAGAGACCCAGGTGTTGGAGACTGCTGTGGTCACAGGGGTGCTGGCATCACAGCAACAAGCGATGGACATCAAGATCGAGCAGTTCTCGATGAGTGTGTATGGAAAAGAATTTATCAAGGACTTGCTGTAGACAAACACATGCCACTGTTTGCCCGACTTGGTTTTGTTGGTCCTGTCAGCAAGTGACAGTCACTATGTCACAAGAGAAGCAAACAAACCTTGAAAGCCTTGAAAGCTTTAAGTCTTTAAGCAATTTCCGTTGTGGATGGGTTGGAGGCAACAAAACTTTGAAAAACAAAAGGTCAATGAAGTTATATAGGTCAAAATTGTGGGGTGTCCTGGTCACTTGCTTTTGGTAACATTTTCTGTGGTGCGATTCTGAGCAAAGAACAACCTCAGTAACTGGGAAGTGGCAGTCAGAAGAAGAGGCTCCGTCGAACCGCTGTAGCAGGACACAAAGCTGGAGCTCAATTTTGGGCGTCGATATGGCCTTATTGGTATGACTCGTGGACGCAGCAAACACTTTTTGATGGGAGCTTTTGAAGGGCTTTCGGCTTTCCATCGAGTCTAGTTGTTGAGACAATGCTTTTTGCAGCTGTCAGCCGTCCATGGAGCTTGTTCGTTTGCCTTACGTGTCTGAGGAATGGATCTGGCAAGTCCACAATGCTTGCTGCAATCGCAGCTCGCGAAATACCCATTCCAGACCACGTAGAAGCTTGCTTGACTGTTTGATGCCTTGTAACGCATTTCTTTCAATCTAGTTTCTAGACTGCACTGCTCTTGCCGCTCCACTGAGGACATTTGGTTTCTGGACAGTGAGGCCAAGCCAGAAGACATCACTGCTGTGCAGGCTGTAGTGAACGTGGTAGCTGATGAGCACAAGCGCTTGGAGGAGAGCGAAGATGATAAGACTTCTTGGCTGTGCTGGATCTAAGCTCTTCCTTGTCAGAAGATACCACTGTTTGAGACTTTCATATGGGAGGAGCTGTCAATCAAGCTACTGGAAGAGGACCCTGAGAAGAACGCCGACTACCTGCAGGACAGAGCTTTGGTCCCCTATTTTCAGCTTCTCAGACTCAGAGCTACTTAGAGCTTCCAGGTCATTGGGGACAAACTGGACAAGATGGATCCGTCAACCTTTGAGCCCAGAGCATGCGAGCTTTTGCATGGACTGGGTTTCAGCAAGCAGATGATGCAGAAGGACATCACTTTGGAGTCAATGAATCTTCAAAACGCTGAAAGCTGAAATGCTGAAAGCTGAAATGCTGAAAGCATATTTTGACAGCTTGAAAACGATGCTGCTCCAGGCCACAAAGGACATGTCTGGTGGCTGGCGAATGCGAGTTGCACTCGCGCAAGCGTTGTTTGTTGAGCCAATGTTGCTTGTTCTTGATGAGTCGAAGTCTGAGTAAACACGTTCCAAAACATTCACAAGCAACTGGCTGGACAAAATTTGTTCCTTTATATTCCAAGGCCGACAAATCACCTTGATCTTGGAGCTTGCGTTTGGTTGGAGGATTGATGCACAATTTGGCACAGAAGCCTGCGTGCTCTGATATCCACTGCTGAAGTGAGAGTCGCTCCCTGATATTCTCCAATTGTAGACTTTCCCAAGAATTCCACTTATTTTGGTGTCTTCAAGCAATGCAAGCAGACTCTGGATGATGCAAAACGCGGAGGGTAACTGCACCAGATAGCTCGAAGCCATAGAGGTTCTTATTTATCTCAGAACTAGGTTCTGGTGGAACTGATGGAACTAGGCGCTGCTTGAGAGGCCATCATCGCAGCTGTGCCTGTGTAGCCGTACTTATTCAGCCCTACTAGCCGAGTGACATAAGTTCACCTGATGAGTTTTCTTGTTCATGATTTCTGGGGTTTAGACGGTCTATGCAAGTGTCTTTCATGAGCTCTCGTATGGCAGCACGGTAATGGGAACTCTTGTCCGTATCAAAGTGCGCTTTTTTGTTCCCCAAACAGTGTGGACACACTTAGGGGTTCTTACGGTAGGTGATAAGCAGCCGTGTTAGATCGCTGTGTCGCGTGGGCGTGGACGGCTATTTCGCTGCCATATCCCCGTTTGTACGGCAAGTATCTTTTCCTGTAGCTGCACTCGTCTAATTATATATAACAGTATCCGATTCCTAGGTAAAAAATATAAGGATTTTATGTTGGAGCCAATACAGGATCCAATACCAAAAACAAGGAAAGACAGGATTTCATACAAACCACGTCTGCAGGATTTTATAAGACCACAATTTGAGGAGTTTCTAGAGAACCGAAGAATGTGGAACACTGAATAATCCACAAAACACAAGGTACCAGAAAAATATACTTGCACACCAGGCGGCGAAAGTGGGGCAGTCGATTTTCAAAAATTCGGTTAATTTGACTTAGTCAGGAAACAATACAAAAATACAATCTTCACCAAGAACTCAGAACTACAGTATCCCCAAGGCCGCCTCCGGACAATCAGTCTTCACTGACTTCTCGCCCTTGATGTTCTCCACCTTTGCAGCCTTCGCATTGAGCCGGGAATGCAGCAGGAAACAAACACATTGAACCGGTACAGGTTTCTATAAATCTGAGCTTGTCCACACCCAGGTTGAAGAGAAAGAACGAAATGATGGGAATCAAGAACTCAGAGCTAGAGTTGCCCCAAGCCCTTGAATTTGTACAAGAGTTTATACATGCAAATCTTTCCAAAAATCGGGTTGCAAGAGGTTGGTGGAAACTATGTTCAGGATTGTTCAGTCGCGTTGAGACTGGGAAAGGCCGCGCTCTCAAACTGGCCTCCAGAACCAAAGCCTTCACTGGCTTCTCCTCCTTGATGTTCTCCGCCTTTGCGTCGGGGGACACAACAACACACACTGAAACTAGACAGAACACAAATGGTGTGGCGCCAACCTTTGTACTTCGCAAGAGCCGTTAAGAAATATGAAATGCTATGCCCAAACCGGCCACCGGACAGAGAGTCTCTTCTGGCTTCTCATCCTCTGTGATCTCGGCCCCCACATCCCGGGAATGCAGACTGGAACCAAGATCTTTGATTGGGACAGAACTCTATAGAAGATATAAAGGGTGAAGTGCCCAGCATCCGCCGTGGACATGGTTTGACAAAAAGTTGCAGCCATGTTTTTACCGAGATTGCCTTCCAGAAATCAGAACTACAGTGTGCCCAAGGACCAAGGCCGCCTCCGGACAGTCAGTCTTCCCGGGAATGCAGCAGGAAACAATCACATTGAACCTGTACTGTACAGAGTTTTATAAATCCGAGCTTGTCCACACCCAGGTTGAAGAGAAAGAAAAGAAAAGGAAAAGGACATCAAGAATTCAGAGCTAGAGTTGCGGTCTGGGTGTGCCCTCAGAACATTCTCCGCATTCTCAGCTGCGTTTCATCCATCAGCAGGACGCCAATTCTGAATGGAACCAACGGTCAGGAAAATATATCGGCAACATGAGCAACTGTCAAAAGATATTACAATATCTATTTCACATCTTTCACTGTCAACAGAAAACAATAATAATGGCGGTGTCCAGTCATCCACTCACGTGCGGATCTTGCGGTCTGGGTGTGCCCAGTGCCCTCAGAACATTCTCCGCATTCTCAGCTGCAGTTCATCCATCAGCAGGACGCCGATTCTGAATGGAACCAACGGTCAGGAAAATATGACATCAAAGGATCCAGTAGAGATACAGTATCAGTTACTTCAGATGTCTCTCACTATCAGATCTATCAGATTTGTCAGCGAAGTGCAGATTCCGTGGCAGGTGCTGCGCTTTGTGAACCTCGAAGCGCAGATTGCGCGGCAGGCGCGGCGCTTTGCAGGTTTCGTGGCAGGCACAGCACTTTGTGAACCTCGAAGTGCAGATTTCGTGGCACAGCACTTTGTGAACCTCGAAGTGCAGATTTCGTGGCAGGCGCAGCACTTGCTTGACCTGGAAGCGCAGATTTCGTGGTTGGCACAGCACTTTGTGAACCTCGAAGTGCAGGGTTTGTGGCAGGCACAGCACTTTGTGAACCTCGAAGTGCAGATCTCGCGGCAGGCACAGCATTTTGTGAACCTCGCAGACAGTCAGCCTCACACTCACACTCACTCTCACTCTCTCACTCTCTCACTCTCACTCTCTCACTCTTTCATTCACACTCACACTCTCACTCACACTCACTCACCATCACCACGTCACCTCTCTGGACCCCAAGGCGTCTAGATCTCCAGACTTTCTGTTGCTACACCTCTAGACCTCACTTGTGGGTGTGTTTGTTCTGCGCAGTGGCCCCGCCATGCTCATGTGTCCTTTCTTCCCTTTTCTGCAAAACTATTGCTGCGTCTACACTGAACGCTTCCAGAGTGAAAGCCACTGCGGTAGCAAACATTTGATATAGTTGTTTTCACTCTTGGCAGTTGAGGTCAGCGTTTACCGTTTGCTCTCAGGAGTACTTGTCTCGATATCCCAACACGCTTTTGTTCACTTCTCACTCGGAGGACCCTTTGCACACATTGCTTTGTTTCAGCACGTCACCAGATCCAAACTGTCTTGCAAGGACTTCATGAACGGTGTTTGCACCAACATCATGCAGCTGACACAGAAAGGACGACTTTGCATTTTTTTTAAATGAGCTCCAGTGACAAGCTTGCTGAGACAGTTGTGGATTTGGCACTTATCAGGAACTCTTGTTGTATGGGGCGGCAACTATGACATGTGCCTCGGCGGTAGCACAGGAGCTTTTATCCAGCTGTCATGGTGACTTCTATCCGCAAGGTACATCAAAACAAGAACTGAAGTTGAGAAGAACCAGCTGACAAAGTACAAGAAGGACTCTGGCGACTTTGGTGATGACCAAGTGAAAGACGAAACTTTGACCACGCTTTCAGCGTGAGGAGCAGGAGGATATCAAGCATCTGCAGGCTCGAACTGCGCTGCTATGGAGTTCTTAAACATTACCAACTTCCGTTTGCGGAATGCTGGCTGCTAGACTGCTAGGCCAAGTGAACTGTGAGTGCTGCAGGATTTCATTCGCTCCTGCGGTACCTATGCCAACATGAGAGTGCAGGTCGGTTCGCTCGGAGTCGGAGTTCTTTCAGATTTGTGCCATCCCACATGAACTTTTGCCAAGTTTTCTTATCATGGAGAAGAGTGCAACTAGTAACTAGACATGGTTTCTTGATGCTTCTTGGTTGGGGCTTCGTGACAATTGTCACAGCTGTGAGGCGGAGTCCAAGCAGAAGATTATTGACAAGATGATAGAGGACAGAAACTCACACCAAAGTTACCTTTGTAAGTGAAATTCTTGCGTGCTGGAGCGGTTCGCAGAAGGGAATTTTGAGACTTCTGAGTCTGAGTGCACATGGCTTTGACAATATGCGAGGCAGGCCTCGCTGAGAAGCCCGTTGCAGATCCGACCTATGAGTCCTGTGCTGACGAGAGAGACAGAATGCACGCGTGCAGCGAAGCCACTCTTGCAGTTTCCAATTCACGGAGTTCTTGAGGTTCTCTTTTCCTGAATCCGAGAAGATCTCTCCACCAGTAGCTTCCATAGTCTTGAAATTTACAAGAAGGCAAACATCAATCTGACAAGCGTGGTAATTTGTCACATGCTCAAAGCCTCCGTCCACCCGCTATCAGGTTATGGCATTTGCAAATGTGTCCTTCTCCTATTCTGGCAAAAAGGAGGCACGATTCCAGAACCAAATTGGAATCCATTGGAGTCTTTATCAATAAATGTTGAGCATATTCACATTCGTGCAACTGATCAAAACCTCATACTGTTGAATTCTTGTGTTGCAGAAATGAGCAGAACTCTTCAGATCATATAGATTGCTCTCTGGATAAACCAGGGGTGATGTGGAGGCCAATCTTTTGTCAAATAATATAAACAATTGTGAAAAGTGAGACCTGGGACAAACAAGGGCAACGGGAAGGATGCTACCACACAGTGAGTACCAATGGCTTTAACCCGTACCCTGCCGGAGTCTCGGTCCTTTCCTTCAACTGTTCGGCTGCTTTTGGCACAAAATCTGATGCAGTTTATGAGCGCCGCCTTTCAAGTCCAGAAATCGAATGACGTGACAAGTCGACAACTTATCCCACAAACTCTGAGTTGTACTTGGCTCAAAGGCTTGCCGAAATTGGAGGGTGCTTCAGTGACAAGAGATGCGTGGGTGAGATCGTGAGACATCCACACTGAGACGAGCGTGTTGTAGCCGCCCGCACAGGAGGTCGATGAATGTTCTGCCATTGGCCGGTGCAGTGTAGGTAGTGGGTCCAGGCACAATCGCATTGGTACTTCACAGGGTTGCCTCTGCTCACGGCTCAGACAGTCGAGGCTGAGCGTTACTCAAAGGGACTTTGCGGCATAGGGATTTGTAGGGTGAGAAACTTGCAGCGTAGCAGATGCAAGGATAGGTGATGCGTTTCCAGGAGCCCAAAGCATGCGACATAGTGTCGCTAGGATTGGGGCTGTGTACTCCGTCCAGAGAACGGCGGCATCGCACCACTCTTGTCTAAACGTTCAGCACCCATGCCCGCCACCCGTTGTGCTGGTTTCGACGTGCGCCTCCCTTTTCCTTTTTTCGCTCCAATCTAAACAAACTTGTTTAGCTCTGAGAAATTGTTGCTTTCAAACATTGGCAACATTGTCACTCATCACTCGTGGCCAAGATTCAGAGGTTTGTTGATGGAGAGTAATTTCCCAGTGTGATCATTTTGCTTATATGATCTTGTGTGCATTGCATTGACATGTCTGGACTGATGGAAGAATTTACAAAAAAAATCGTTTGCAATGCAAGAATTCAGGATCATCTCTATGAGAATTTGGAGCTGGGTGTGGACTTGGATTCACGCATTGCGCTTGTAGGCTGGAGATGGCTGGAGCCGGAGCTTCTATTGTTTTATTTTGTTTTAGATCTGTGAGCAGCTTGGCTGCTTGAGCAAGGCACAGCAGCACATAGTGAAGTTGTTAAACAACAGTTTGCTGACCACTCATTGGTGCAGCACAGCGGTAGTAGCAACGGAATACTGCAAGAAGTACGTTTTATCTTTCTTGCACCTTAGTTCTGCACTTGCCAATTGGCACCACTGCAGTGCAGATGAGAAGCCGATAAGGCTTTGCATAGTTGTGGCAAAGTCTCGTGACAGCTGAAGTCCGGCCACGTTTCAGAGGGCATGGCCAGCCCTGCCTCAAATCTATGGCCTCGAACTTCATCACCACCTCATCCCATATTTCGAACACCTGAGCACTCATGACCTTTTCCATTCTGCACAATTCTCATCTTCGTCACCTGCACATTGTCCATGGAGGCATCATTTCCGACGAACAACAACCCAATCTGCATAGGGAGAGTGGTGGTGATCAAGACCAGCGTGCAGTAAGACGAATCTCATTCTCCCCTCGACCTTACAGTCAACTCCAAGGTAGTTCCTTGCTTTTAGAATATGCAGGTCACAACCCAGTTGTTTGTTCTTGAGTTTGTCATTTCTTAAGGTTCTTCAACCCGATCGTTTCGTGTGTTTAGCAAGATATTGTGAGTGTAACAATAGACCAAGTCAGGAGGGGTTGTTGTGGGAGGGTACATCATTCGTCTGCCCTTTTGGGAGGGTGCATTACACAATTTGTTTACCCTTTTAGGCTATTTTTGCTCCAGAGCTGACGAGGTGACCTTCTCAAATTCTCATCCACCCACACCTGCTGGGATTGGCGCGGGAGAAAGCTTTACACCTCAGAGTTTGTTGGATCAAAGGCACCACCTAGCTGAGTGTTATTCACTGTGCCCAACCTGTTTTCGAAAAAGTGCGATCCAACTCTGACGTTTATGTTGATTGTTGCTGTGCGCTTTGGGATGTTGGGATATGTTCAGCGTGTCAGGGCCAAATGGCGCTGGAAAGTCTACCCTTCTGAAGCTCATGCTGCAGCAGATTGAGCCAACAGTGGGTGAGGCAGGTCAGCCAAAGTGGAGTAGAGCTTTGATAGAGGCATGATATCACCATCTTGGGTTTGTGCTAACTTGCAAATTTGGAGGAATGTCAAGTTGTACTTCGGGTGTGGATGGTCTGGAATTGTGAAGGTCAAAAGAAGCGGAAAGCTGCGGATTGGACACTACAACCAGCACAGTGAGGCTGTGAATTTGACGGGTCATCAACCACTCAAAACATTTGTGAGCTTCCCACTATGGTGAACTCTGCACCTCTGCTTCACCACTGACATTTAAGATCTTGCAAGCGCTATGCAAGACATGGGCAGCAGCGCCCTCGTACTGTGGTTTTCCATCAAGTTCTTTTTTTTAGCAGCAGATCGCTTGATTACTGCCCTCAAGGTCCTTCTTGACGGTCCTTGTCTCTTGTTTCGTTTGCTTGTCTCAAGTGCAAATCTAATCCGTTGCGGCTTTCCTGGTCGCTGGGCTTGCCCAGACACATCGGATTTGGAGATGCCACCTACAAGAGAGGGAGGGGAAGAGAGAGGATTCTGAAGAGCCAGGATAGAACTTCAGATTGCGAAGTGTGAGTTTTGAGGGCTAAGGGTGCAGTGCCATTGGCTATTTGGAGCAGATGAACTACTTGCTTGCATCTTGCTGACAAAACATGTTGCGGTAGCCGGGAATGAAGTTGTGTGGATATTTAACTTGTTTGCTATGTATATAGTATCACTGGATTCAAAAACTGTATTTATGAGAGGATTCCAAGACATGCGTGCTAGAGTGCAGAACAGGGTCCTGTAGGCTCAATCTAGAAGACCAATTGCAAACGTGATAAGTTTGCCGGCGTTTTCACCAGTGGTTTGTTCAACACGTTCCGCGGGGTACAACAAAGTGGTCATGCAGACATGCTTGTTGACTTTTGGGTTAGTTCACTCGTAGGACATTTCCTGTTGGGTTGAGTGCTGCGCCTTTGAAAAAGAGTCGGGAAATTGCGCGCAAGAAATGTCACGTCTTCATTGAAGGGTTAGGGTAGGGACAAGATGAGATTGCGCCCCATGTTTCTTTGCTGCGTGTGGTTCAACAACAGTCTCAACTTCTGTATGACGTCTATGTGCGACGCCACTGGACCAAGCGACGGACTGAAATTGCTTCCTTCGCAAGCTTTCAGTTTGGTTTTCCAGTTTTGTTAAGCTCTGGATGAGTCACTTAACAGTCTTGAGTCTTAACAATATTCGGATTGGGATGGTATTTTGTCACCGCGCCGCTCGTCACTTGAATTTTCTCTTGCTCTGGTCTTGGCTGGGAACCTTTCAAGAACATCATGTGCTTAGCTGCACTTGTTCGATCAAACTAAGACTACTGTAGCCTGTTCACTTTTGTGCTGTTCTCAACTTGCAATGTGTGTGTGTGTAGGCAGTGCTGGATTTGGAAGCGACACCGTTGCAGTTCCTCAAAGACCTTTACCCAGAGGCCGCGTTGTGGGCGCCTGTGCGTGTAGTTGGTCTGCCGAGCATAGACGGCCGGGGCATTTCGAGCACTTTCTTTTTGCAAATTCCGTGTGGTATTTACAGTACTCTCTATGAGTCCGCAGGGCCACTCAGAAGAGCGTCGAAATTGAGTGTAAGCAATTTCTATGGTATTTCTCATGGCTTCGAGCAATTATGTACACGCGGGGCCATGATATCAAGAGGATGTTGATGATACCGCGTAGCAAGCATAGGACATTGGTTTTGCTGTGTTGTTCCCCAGATAGCGAAGCTATGGGGTTCTTATACTCCAAATAACAATGAGTTGCCCGTGCGCGCTTTCGAGACAGGTTGCTGGTGCTGGGTGCCGGTGCTGGTGCTGGTGCTGTGAGCTGCCTGTGCACATGGTGGAGGCAGGTTGCCGGGTGCCGGTGCTGGTGCTGGTGCCTAACTGTGCATACGGTGGAGACAGGTTGCTGGTGCCGGTGCTGGGTGCCGGGTGCCGGTGCTGGTGTGTGAGCTGGCTGTGCACGTGGTGGAGACACGTTGGTGCTGGGTGCCGGGTGCCGGTGCTGGTGCTGTGAGCTGGCTGTGCACGTCGTGGAGACAGGTTTCTTGGTGCTGTAAGCTGGCTGTGCACGTGGTGGAGACAGGTTGCTGGTGCCGGTGCTGGTGCTGGTGTTGTGAGCTGGGAGACATGTTGCTGGTGCCGGTGCTGGTGCTGGGTGCCGGGTGCCCTCGTAGCACAAGATTGCCCTTAAAGGCCCTCTCGTAGCACAGGATTGCCTTTAAAGGCCCTCTTGTAGCACAGGATTGCCTTTAAAGGCCCTCTCGTAGCACAGGATTGCCGGTCGAATCCCGATTTTGGACGGGCGCCGGATTTTGTTTAATTTTTAATACAATTTCAATGGCGAACGGCCCGGTTCGCGGCAAATCCTGGGGTGGGTTCGTAGCACAAACGGGCCTTTAAAAGGCCGCTCGGAGCACAGGATTGCATTTAACAGCCCTCTCGTAGCACAGGATTGCCTTTAAAGGCCTCCTCGTAGCACAGGATTGCCTTTAAGCGCCCTCTCGTAGCACAGGATTGCCTTTAAAAGCGCCCTCGTAGCACAGGATTTCCTTTAAAAGCCCTCTCGTAGCACAGGATGTAGCACAGGATTGCCTTTAACAGCCCTGTCGTAGCATATAGGATTGCCTTTAAAGGCCATCTCGTAGCACAGGATTGCCTTTAAAGGCCCTCTCGTAGCACAGGATTGCCGGTCGAATCGGTGCTGGTGCTGGTGCTGTGAGCTGGCTGTGCACGTGGTGGAGACAGGTTACTGCTGGTGCTGGGTGCCGGTGCTGGTGCTGGGTGCCGGGTGCCGGCTGGTGGTGTTGTGAGCTGGCTGTGCACGTGGTGGAGACAGGTTGCTGGTGCTGGTGCTGGGCGCCGGGTGCCGGCTGGTGGTGTTGTGAGCTGGCTGTGCACGTGGTGGAGACAGGTTGCTGGTGCTGGTGCTGGGCGCCGGTGCTGGTGCTGTGAGCTGGCTGCGCTGCACGCGGTGGAGACAGGTTGCTGGTGCTGGCCGGGTGCCGGTGCGCCCGGCTGTGCACGGTTGCTGGTGCTGGTGCTGGCTGTGCGCGTGGTGGAGACAGGTTGCTGGTGCTGGTGCCGGGAGCCGGTGCTGGTGCTGGGTATGCCGGTGCTGGGTGCTGGTGCTGCATGGGCGCCGTGAGCTGGCGTGCCGGTGCTCACTGTCAGAAGCGATAACAGCTGCCGCTTCTGACAGTGAAGGGTAACAAAACGCCGAAGGGCAAGCGCCGCTTCTGACAATGAAGTGCCAGCAGTCATGGGCCGCGTGAACTTATGCACGCAACATCATACGGTGTTGTCGATTGAACGTTCTTTGTCTATTAGTGCTGTGGGGTATTCTGATGCTGGTGCAAGTGCAGGCGCTGGCTTTGGATCGGCGTTTTGGTTTTGCAGGTGCAGCTGCCGTGCTGATGCTGGTGGTGCAGGCTGCTGCTGTGCTGGCGCTGGCGTTTTGTTTTGCCGGCGCTGGCGCCGTGCTGGTGCGTGTGCAGACGCTGGCTTTGGATCGGAGCTTTGTTCTGCGGGTGCTGCTGGTGTGCCGCTGCAGGGTGCCACTGCTGTTTGCGCTTGGGAGCTCAGTAAGACAGGGTGCCGGTCTCGGGCGCTGGTGCTGGGTGCTGTGAGCTGGCGCCGGTGCTGGCGGACACACATTCCGGCGCTGGGCGCCGGTACGGGGCGCTGGTGCTCGCTTGTGTGCGTGGTGCGCGTAGTGAAGACAGGGGGTGCTGGTGCTGGGTGCCGGTGCCGGGTGCTGGTGCTGGCTGCTGGCTGTGCGCACGGTGGAGACAGGGTGCTTGGAAAGCTGGCAAACTGGGGGGCGGTTGACTTTTGGAGCCACCATGGTTGCGCACGCTCTCATTCCAAAGCTGTGGACGTGGTTGATGGAGCTTTGCGTGAACATCAGCATGCCTTAGTGCCTGAAGATGATGTAATTTTAGAGTTTGACAAATTGCAGTTTTTGAAGCGGATGTCGAAGGTATGCCGCTGTTTGAAAAGGTAGTGCTGTTGGTGCTGGGTAGTATATAGCAAGCGTTCTGGGCGACGTTGCTTTTGGTTCCTGCGTGTGCTTTGGCACTGCTGCCAAGGCAGGGCGCAGTCCAGAAGAATCTTTTGCATGTTTTTGCCTATGCTGGTGTAACTCCCAGATAGCGACAGCTATGGGGTTCTTACTTCAAATGACAATGAGCTGGCTGTGCGCGCTTTCGAGACAGGGTGCCGGTGCTTCGTGCTGGTGCTGGGCGCTGGTGAACAGTGTGCGCGCCGGTGCCGGGTGCTGGCTCTTGATCGGCGTTTTGGTTTTCCGGGTGCTGCTGCCGCGCTGATGCTGGTGCAGGTGCTGGCTGTGGATCGGCGTTTTGGTTTTGCGGGTGCTTCTGCCGTGCTGATGCTGATGCTGGTGCAGGCGCTGGCGGTGGATCGGCGTTTGTTTGCTGCGGCTGTCACGCAAGAGATGACGCCATGTCATGCCCAGAACGACATCATGTCATGCCAGACACGACATCATGGCATGCCAAGGATGGCGTCGTGTCATGCCCAAAACCGACATCGTGTCATGCCAGGGATGACATGCTGTCATATTGTGCGTGACAACGTGTTGCACAGCAATGATCATAATGTTATTTGGTCAGTTTTGGCTGGTCTTTGCCGGTCTTGCAGTATTACGACTGTGTTCGGCAAAGCGGGCGCGTTCTGGACTGGTCTGATGTTGCCTGCTGCGGTGACAGCCGTCCATTGCGTGTCCTATGCGTCGGCCATCTGGGAGGTCTACGCCGATTTTTGTGATGTGTGATCTTTTTTATCGGGTTCACTTATCTGTTGTGTATCAGTTTCGCCTGTACCAACCGTTTTTTGAAAGGGTTTTAGAGATAAGATAAGTCCGGATAGGATGGACATGTTATCGGTGAAAATACTTTGACCAGAGCCAGCTCTGAGTTGGACAGCTGTCAAGCCGGCCACTGGCTACTTGTATTCTGCATTGCCATTCCAGGGTGTTGTCACAACGTCTGGGAAGAAGAAGATGGAAGACTCCGAGTGGCGAGGCGAGCTGAACCCACTTGGTCTGCCTTACTGAGCAGGAGGGGACCTTCAGAGGTTGCGTTCAATGTTTTGTCAGGTTACAGCTGAGCACTCATGCTAGAGTACGTGTCAACATGACACAGGTCACAGTAGTTGAACATCTGCAGTGGCTGAGGTGAAAATGGCTCGCCTCTACCTTTGACATGGTAGCGGAGCCCAGTGATTGGCCCAGGTGGTCATGAGCGCTCGAGATGCACTGCCATGGCGGACACTGCAATGGCCGTGACGGCCATCTTGGAAGGTCATTGGTTCTCCCTTGAGCCAATGACCTGGACTGAGCCCATCGAGATGATCGCAACAGGGCATCAGGGCATCAACTCGATGAGCCCGCTTTTGAATTTGAGCTCGAGGAGGAGAAGAGAGATGGAAGATGACACTACATCCTCGACACCTAGGAGGACGAGACCAGGCGAGGGTGAAAGCGCTATGTGGAGCACTTCGACATGTTTGAGGTGGGGGAGCAGATCCTGGCCCATTACACTTCACAAAAGAAGAGAAGATGAGCTTGGAGCTCACTACACCTGCAACCTTGTGTTCGAGTCCCAGGGCGATGGAGAGAGAAAGAACAGTCCCAAAGCCATGGAGAAAAATACAGAGGACAAGATGGGCACAAGTGAGGCTTCGCAGAATTCACTTGAAGCGAGAAAGAGCTATGTGCTGGAGAAAGAGAATGAGCAGGCAATCATGATGGCCACAATCAAGATCTCCTTGGAGGAGACTATGTGCTTGCAGCGCTAGAGAGAAAGAATGAGCAGGTGATCACGAATGCCACGGAAGGCCAGAACTACATCGACAGCTTTACATGGAGAAATGGAACTACGTCTTCAAGAAGAACCAGTTGAACGAGCGCTTCAAGATTATGATGCTGGCAGACGACCTCGATGTCTTCAAGACTCTGAGACTATGAGCTTGATCTCAATCGCCATCCTGAGCAGGTGGCTTGGCATGGTGGTGATCTTCATGATCTTCAACGAGGCGGGGAAACAAAAGCTGAGCGCAGAGAATTGTTGAAGAGTAGAGTGAGAGGAAAAGAGTTGAGAAGAGGAAGAAGACGTTGCCGGTTGAGCCAAGTGGTGAAGAAACGTCAAATGCGAGTGATGATGCTGTTCATGATGGTTGGAGCAGCGCAGAGCATGGAAGCGCAACAGATGCTACAACGCATCACGCGTAGCAGAAGCAGCCAACACAGCAGCGCAAGCAGCAACAGAGGCCACACAGTCCATGACAAAGACAGCAAGTTCTTCTGCGCAAGGCTGGGAGTCAGCCACGAAGATTTTGAAAAGTCCAGACACCTTCAATGGTGAAGATCCTTTCCAAACTTCAACCAGAAGCTGTCCATGGTGGAGAACATCTTGCAGTTCGAGCAGTTGGTCATGCAATATGAGCAGACGAGCAAAGAGACATATCCCAGTGACCCCAAGACAGCAACGCTAATCAGGTGTGCGCCGCAGAAGCTCAAGGAGTACCTCCAACTTTCCTTGACTGACAAGTCAACATTTGCTGATGTGAGAGAGGCATTGCTAGCCTATGAGAGAACTTCCCAGAGCTTTTCACAAGAGCAAATCCTCAAGCAGCTGGAACTTCGTGATCCAGTATGAGCATCAGGAGATAAAGCCACGCAATGGAAGTCGACAGAGTGACTGACTGGCAAAGGCAAGTGCAAAGGAAAAGGAAAAGACAAGGCAAAGGAAACTGGTGGCAAGGAGCCTGGACCTTTGGAAGAGGCCGAGGCTAAGGAAAGAGCAAAGGCGGCGAGAAAGGAAGCAAAGGGAAGAGCAAAAGCTACAACAGCCACAACCAGAACTACAATTTGCAATCAACATGGATATTTGGCGTTTACAATCAAGCATTTCAGCAACAACAGCCGGTACCACCACCTTCAGCAACAGGTTCAGTGGCAAGTGCGTCGACCCAGAGTACGATAGCGATCCTCATTCAGCCTATCGCTCACCGCAGTCAACAGCAACAGTTCGCAGAGTCTATGACATCGCATTAATTCTCTGAACCAGGAGATGGACAGGTGATCTGCTTCCTGAGCACAGAGATCATGAATGACCTCATGACTTCGTCAACGACGAGCCCAGAGGAGAAGAATGATGCATTCGACAAACAGTTCAACCACGAGATCGACATCAATGACAAAGGACAACTACGCAATGGAGAAATGATTGAAGATGGCGTCAAAGAGCAACATGTACGAGTCATCGTGGAGAACATTCCAGAAGAAGGTGAAGTGGAGACCTCCTCGAAGGTTCTACAACGTGGATAAGAACATGAAATGTGGCCGCAAGCTTCAAGATTGCCAAGGACGAAAGCTCAACGTGGAGGGAAGCAGAGAGACCGAGATTGAGGTGCTTGACAGCCAATGAGCACCAGTGACTTTGAGGCATCGGTTCTTGGTTGGAGCAGTGACGAGTTGCGTATTGGGCCTTGGACAACTACTGAAGAGTGGATGGACACTTCAACATGACCGTGATCATGCTGATCAACTTCCACTATGCTCACCGGATGCTTTGACGGAAATTCCGGTTGGCTATCGAGGCATGTCGTCAGCCATACAAGGCACAGTTCGACGAGTGGAAGATGAAGAAGGTGAAGAAGACAGAGATGATCCCTGAAGTCCCACTACATGTTTGAATGCTTGTCAAAAGCAAAGATGGCTTTGGCTTCGAGACAGAGCAACTTGATGAAGCAGAAGCGTCGCAAGAGCATGCTGAGAATGAGCCCATGGAAGTGGCAAAAGAAGTTGTGGTGAATGAGATGACGCTGAGTGCCTCTTCGGCCATGAAAGACTTCAGGGCAGCGGCCAAGCGGTTGGGAGTCTCAGGCAGCGGTTCAACACAGAGGATCTTTGACAGTTGAGCTACCTGATCAAAGGTGAAGAATGACGACAAGCAACACTACTAGCTCTTGAGCGCATGAAGAAGGATGATCAACCCATTGAAGGACGACAAGTTCCCAAGCTTCCTTCAAAGCTTGAGAGACGGCTTCACAACTTGACACACCTACCCAACAAGACATGGTGTGACGTTTGCGTGATGGCAAAAGCCAAGGACAACTCCAGGAAGAGGCAATTTCCTGGACCTAGCAGCCATAGAGAACGCCCAACAGTTCAGATGGCTTTTTGTACGATTTCTGGTGGAGTAGCAGTTTTGGTTTTGGTCGACATGTGGACATGATACACAGAGGCCAGAAGACAACGGAATGTCGCAGACGCCGTCCTGAGTTTCTTAGGCAGGGTTGGCCAAGTGGAGAAAGTGGAGCTGGTTTGTGACCAAGAGCAAGTTCTACTTGCAGGCCTTCAGCTGGCAAAAGAAACAAGAACAAGAATGGGCCTAGCAACAACGCTGGACATGAACAAGGCATTTGACCAGTCCAAGACATCAGCAGCTGAGAGATACATTTAGACCGTGACCGTTCGCAACCAAGCAAAGGCACTCATCTTGCGCTTAGAGATGAAGGTTCTGTGAGATGGGACCATTCGAGTATGGCAGCAACGCCATTTTCTACTGCAGAAGAAAGTGGTGCAACCGAATCCCTCGTGCGTCAAGAAGATGGTAGAACTACTTGAACTACATGGAAAGAAGACCCAGACATTGCCGCGCCGCAGCAACCTAGAGGTGTATGACAGGGACAACACCAAGGAGCGCGAACGACTCAGTGCGGAAGACCGACGGATGTTCCGAGCTGGTTTGGGGTTGGCGCTTTACATAGCGCAAGATCGACCAGACATCCAACAGTCTTTGAAGATTTTGTCAACCTACATGGCCGGAGGAACAAAGCTAGCCCACGCAGCTTTGAGACACCTTGCAAGTTATCTCCAAGGAACACAAGACGCCGGAGTTTTGCTGACGCACTCGAGAGATTTGGTGTGACGAGTGACCATTGGGATTTTCCCGAATGGAGCAACCGAGAAGACCGGAAGGTCTACAACCTTGAAGTTTTCACAGATGCCAATTGGGCAGGTTGCAAGTTTGACGACTTCATACATGGTTTTTCTGAACGGAAGCTTACTTGTGAGCTCGCGCAAGCTACAGTCATCCATTATCCATAGCTTTGTCAAGTGCAGAGTCAGAACTGTACGCAAGGTGCAGTGGCGTTGCAGAAATGCTACATGTTGGAAGTTTGCGTCGGTTTTTAGTAGGAGCCAGTGAAGTTCAGATGACAGCTTTCAGTGACAGCTCAGCGGCAAGAGGCATCATGCAACGAGCTGGACACAGCAATTTACCCAGCAGACCTCAATACAAAGAAGCTATCTCAAGAGAGGCGAAAGAAATTAATGAGCCTGATTCCAATGGGCGTAGAGATTGAAACCATTGAGACCATCCAGACAGAAGTAACCCAGAAGACAAGTCAGAAGACCCTGACAATGATTTAGCTGGAAGCACATGTTTCTTGCAAGGGTGCTCGAGCTTTGCAGTGCCAGGTGATGTGACCGTGAGCGACCTCATCGCGATCAGAAGCCTTGCTATGCTGGCGCTGACGCTTTTCATCGTCTACCTGACGTATGCTCTACAAGTTCAACGACAGCGACTACAGCTCACTGAGGAGCTCTATCGAGAAAATCCCGACGACTTTGAGCGCGCAGAGACCGAAGCAGCTCTTCATCGACTTCGACATCTCAAGAGAGTGGACCTTCTGTCTCGGGATTGACAGAAGGCAGACGTGGAAGGACAAGAAGGCAGCGAATGACGCCTGGAGATGCAGCAAGGCTTGGACGGAGACCTCCCATGCACCTGGACTGATTGCTGAACTAGAAGAACAATTTGTGGACTTGCAAGGCATTTGGGCCAATGTGAACTCCATGAGGTGTGAAGGTGGATTGGCGCAGATCTTCCCACTACCTTTGAGAGGAAACAATGGAGAGAGAACCTATGAGGCAACGATCCAAGAGCAACAGCAACGAGAAGATGCAGTTCCTGAAGAACCAGAAGAACCAAGTGCAGAAGAAACTTTATCGCAACCAGGTACTGGACCTCGATTTGATGTTTTCACGCAATCAGGCGAGAGTGAAGAAGATGGACCTGGTGACGCAGCAGAAGGAGATGGAGGACCTCGACGACGAGTACACCAGAAGACGACCAACCACATCGAGGAGGACAACGAGGTCTACAACATATCTTCAGAGGAATGACATCATTCTTTGGACATCGTGAAGATGAAGATGTTTTACATCAGGGAGAAGATCAACTACATCCTAGAGAAGTTCGACGAGTTCAACAACGACGACCAGAAAACCCACCTGAAGATCTTGGACATGGACGACATGGACATGGAGGTGAAGATCAAGATAGTGGACCAGAAGAGCTGGAGCGGTCAGATAGCGAACCGGCAAAATTCGACGGGGAGCGTGAAGGTGACTTCATTTCAGACAGAGAGCAAGGCAGAAGAAACTACATCGCGGACATTGAGAGGACGCACTGGCAGATGCTAGAAGACACTTCGAGAAGATTGGACCAGATTCTAGCTGACGGAACCGAAGAGACAAACAGTGAAGAAAGAAGTGGAACGCGTTGTACCATCGAGGCCTGAAGTCTTCAATTGGTACAGAGAACAACTACTCGTACGAGGAGAAGGCATTGAAACCCATTTGGCAATTGCGTCAAGAGAACTTTCACAGTTCATCAGCACGGCTCTGAGCACAGCTATGTCCCATGCTGGCACGGTGATCAACGCAGACATGCTTGGAAGACTCTACAGGCTGAGGAATGAGATGGTGGCAGCCCTTGCCAAACATCAGAAGGCTACAGAAGGAGCATTTTGTTTGCCAAGAGACTTCAACGTCTTGAACGTGAGGCAATTGAGCAAGCTGCTGATGCCATGATGGAAGAGAGAGGAAGAAAAGCAGAAGAAACACGGCAAGAGTACATCAGGAGGCGCTGATGTGCATCCACGTGCAGGGCGACGCTTCTCTTACCCAGAAGAAGCGATCGATCCGGAAGATGGAAACCATCAATCTGGAGGATGAGAACTGAGAGCCATGGAAATGCTTTGTAATTTGTGAGCGCGTTTGAAACTGGAACTCGCGGTACGTCTCACAGAGGCTGATGCAAGTTTGGCAAGATTTGAACATCTAGCCAAAAGGCAAGGTGTCAGGTTACAGCTGAGCACTCATGCTAGAGTACATGTCAACATGACGCAGCAGTTGAACATCTGCAGCGGCTTTTCTCAAGAGGTGAAAGAGGATCGCCTCTACCTTTGACATTTTTGCATTAAAACGTTTTTTGATTTCAGTGGAGTTCCTTTGGTTTGTTTTTGGAAGTTACATTTTGGAAACACACTCTGATAGACACGGGGAAAGTGCTTTCAAATTGTTCAGTGCGCTGGTGTTGTGCAGGCAAACTGGGATCCTTCGGTATCACTGGAGACTTCCAGTCAGGCACTCAAATATTTGTGAGGTGCACCGAAGACTCCAGCCAGGTGTGAACCCAACAGCCAAGGACACGAAAGATGAAGACCATGTCTGCACCCTGCTCGGCACACTTGTCACTTCTGCATTCTTTTCTACAGATTATGGATTCAAATTTGTCAACTGTCACCTTTCAAGGATGGGATGAGGACCAGAGCAGCTGAGCAGCCTTTATAAGAGTTGACATTTGCACGTTTGGGCTCTCGTCCAGAGGTAGTGATGCTGCTCATCGCGCTGGTGAATCCGCACGTTTTGCTGTTGGACGAACCTACAAATCATTTAGACATGTGACTTGATTTAACTCATGCAAGCCGAAACGGTCGAATTATCACACTGAGATGAAATGAACATTTCTCCATGGCTGCATGCTGGTTTGAGACTGAGGGACAAGGGCATTCCGTGTAAAACACATTATTTGTTACTCAGGCAGTGTATTGACGCATTGGCGAGTGCAATCAACAAGTTCACTGGTGGAGTGGTCCTGGCAACGAAGCTGAATGCAAGATAGTTTTGCTTTCAATCACTGATGGTTACCCGCTGTATCCCACTTCACATTAAAGGCACCCTATTTGCGGAATATCGCCAAGATTGTGACACAACCTTTTATTTAACATCAAACCGGGTTCAGGTTGACACTACAAACTGTCCCTCCAGATCTTGCAAGGGTTTACGGGACATATTGGCCTGTCCCACGCCAGTCTTACAAGAACATGAACTCATTTTGCAGTACTCCTTTCTTTTTGGACTCACGCTTGGCCGTTCTTTCGACCACAAAGGTTAGCCACGACTTCCGCTTGATCAGTCAGGTTGCAAAGGAGATCTGGGTTTGTGACAATGGCTTAGTCAATGTAAAATCAGGCTTGAAAGAATTGTTAATAACTTTGGTTCATCAGAAGAGATCGAACTAAGGATAAAAAAACCGTCAGCAGATGGGAAGGTGATATCCAATCCTACAAGAAGCGCTTGAAGAAAGAGGCTGTTCGGGGTCAGCCATTGAACAGCAGAGCTGGGTCAGAAAGTCAGAAGTTTGCAGCCACAGGTGATGAAGAAGTTCAAAGCATAGCATACGGCCCCTTGGATGAAGCCAGGCATTTGGTTTTGCTTCCGTCCAGCGGATTGACTTGCCACTGATGAAATAGATTCCCAGACTTGACGTTGTTCAGCTTTGTCATTTTATTCCGTTGCGAGCAGATAGGAGCGACAGCTGAGGAGGACAGGAGTTTTGTTATCGTCCAAGCAGCTGAGGTGCCTTGCGATATTTTCCGCGCCTGTTTGGGCTCCAAAGACAGTCCAATTATGGCCTGATTGTACAGACAAAGTCACAGAGTTCAGGCTCAAAATCTTCTTCAATCAGCGCAAAATATCATCACTCAACCACTATGTTCAACTTTGCAGCTAGGGGGGTTTCAGCTGTTGTTTAGGTGCTTGAGCTGGCCAGAGTTGCCCAATGAAAAGCTTGTTGCTGCGGCTGTGCACTTCTTCTTTCAAACAAAGGCTTTGCGCAAGCAGCATTGCAGCTTAGACTGTTTGAAAGTCTTCAAAAGAGGCAATGCAATGCATATTAAGATTTTTTCGCGACGACAACCGCCCACATCGTTTGCTTCGAGAGAGAGCGCAAGGAAAGACAATTCATGTCCAAGCCACAAGCCGGATGATGCGTAACCGAATGAGCAGACGCTTAACACCATATTGCTTATAGTCTATTGTATTCACCTATTTTCACCTATTTTTTAGACCTCTCAACAAAGGGGTCGATGTAGAGCACACAAAGTCTCCTCCCTTCAAGCTGGAAACACGATACTTTATCACGTCGCCGCGCAATGATGATGGTGCTCATGAAATTTGTACGCGCATTGACATGGGAGGAAAGCGAGCCCATCTCAACCACATCAGTGCGTGCTCTTTCTCTCTCACGAGAACGCGCGCAAAATTTGGGCACGACGTTTTCCCTCAGTCGCGGCTGTGATGAGGGCAAAATTCATTGTGGTACCCATGTGCTCCATGAACACGCGATGGCAGTACGACGAAATGATCATTTTCCAGGTCGTAGGAGTGAGGTGTCTGTTTTGAACCTCGTCGTTCAATACACGATGCTTCATGCGTTCCAGGCATTCCAGCTGCTCAATCTTTTCTTGTTGTTGTTTCACTTTCATGTTGGCCTCGATCATGAAAAGAAGTGGTGAGTACCAGAGTCGGCCCACAATCGAATCTGATCTGAGGTGAACTGGTTTGTGGTGTCCACATCCATCAACTGTTTGTAGGTCTTGCGCCTGCTGTCTGTCCAATTCTCTTGGATGATGACTCCACGAAGGACGCTGTCAATAGACTTGTTGCGGTAGTCATTCATGGCCTCCTGCAACATCTTCCTCCACTTTCTTTGTTCTCGCTCGTTTTGCACACTTTCCTTGATTTGATTCCATTTGTTCAACTCTTCTGCTGTCACTTCCGCATCATCATTAGCTGACGAGCTTCCATGATCGCTCACCTGGTCATCCACAGCCTGTTCATTCTCATCAATCTCGCCATGGCTCGGCTGCGAGTCATTCACAGGAACCTCATCGGACTGAGTGTCCTGCTCGTTCTCAATCTGCTCTTCAGATTGAAACAACTAACTAAATTCAAAACCAAATAGACTTATGCGTAGCCATCAACATTTCCAGCATCACAGAATGCACTCGCAGCCTTTTTCGTGTCAAGGAACAAGTTCGCATGGTAGCGGAGCAGGGATAAGGGTAACCCCCATCTGAGCTCCAGAGCAAAAGCCCGTAGGTCACGGGGATCCCAACTCCGATTTCGAGCCATCGATTTGGGGCCTTTGGAACCCAAAACAGCTAGACTGGTGATAAGCTGTTGTGAGCGCCACTCTGTTCTCCGTACGTTGCGTCAGAAAGACATCAGTGCGCAGTGGAGATGGATGAGATCAGAGACATCCTCCATGTAAAAGCTCTGAGTATGCCAGCAACACCGTCAGCCGCTGAGCCAGTGAAGAAAGCCATTCAGGACAAGAAGTCATCAACAACTAGTTGGCCAAAACTCATTGCAAAGCCCAGCATCTTTGACTACAAGTCACCAGAGGAAGAGATCAAAGCATTTAGAGAGTGGTCACGGGTATTAGAAATATTTGAGTGCAGTTGATGAGGCTTACGCGAAAGACTTGAAGGAGGTTCATGAAAAGCAAAATGACAAGTTTGACATGGACTTGGCAACCACAGAGGAGAAGACCAGATGCATCAAGTTCTATGGGTTGTTAGCTTCATTGATGAGGGGAAGAGCGCTGCAAGTGGTCAAAGCTGTGGAGGATTCCAATGGGTTTGACGCTTGGAGGAGTTTGAACAAAACTTTGAGACCCAGAGGAGCCACTACATGGCCAGCATTTTCAATGAACGGCGCACTACAACCTCAACTTCTGAAGCTTGAAGAAGTACAGTATTTGATGAGACTGTCAAGGCAGGGACGACAATTCAAGAAGAGTTGAAATCTGCTGTTCTGTTGACTTTGAGGGAACAAGTGTTGAAAGGCAAAGGTGTGGCAACGTGTTGCGCTTGTGGAAAGCCAGGACATCTGGCTACAAACTGTCGGAGGAACAATATTCGACAGGAGGAGCACCAGTGACTACTACTCATAGAGTTGGCCAACAACAAACCAATGTCAGCCAGCAGAGTAGCTCAGCAGAGACCAAGCCAGTGGTCAGAAGGATTGAGAACAGCGAGCCGATCCTGATTTGCGAGCAAGGGATGACGAGTTAGAAGATCATGGAATGTGAGCGGTTCACTTCTACATTGGAGATGATGATGATGACGAGGAGGAGGATGATGATGATGTGCCAGAGATCAAGGAACTTGAGGAGATAATGACGAAACCATGGTGAGGAGACTTGGGAAAGAGAATGAGGATGTGGCCATCGTTATTGACAGTGGAGCTGATGTAGTTTTCTACCCTTTGAGTATGGCAGATCACGGGGAAGGGGAATTGGAGTTCAGCGCCATGACCAAGCTACAAGATGCGCAGGGGAATCGTACCCCCACATAATTGCAAAAAGTGTTGAAAAGTTCTTCTCAAAGAGAATGTGATCTTCAGGTCAAAGGTGAACCGGCCCATACTTTGCTCAACAGCAGAGAGCAAATGTTGGAGAACGGTGACTTGAAGGTACCACTCAACTTTCAACATCGCTCTTTGACAGTTCAAGGCCGTAGAATCATTCGAGATGAAGATGAAAGCTGTTGGCGGCGCAAGTACCTGAAGCTTTAGAGAAGGCAGCAGCAGATTGGAGATTCAATGAGCATGGGCTGCTAGTTGGAAGTTTATTGACTTCAAGATTTGTGGATCTGACAGTCATTCTAGAATTTGAAGAGTCGCCAGAGTTGATGAGAACCACTTTGGTGAAAAGAGGGGGTAGATGGCTAACGCCTGAGTATTGTGAGAGCGTGATGAAAAAGGACGAACTTGATGAGCGCTTCTTTGATGATGATGCAGTCATTCCTTCAATCGCAATCTTCAGCTATGAGCCAGGGCCGCCAGAAGACATGGGATTCTTTGCGCCAGGATACAAGACGCTTGAAAACAGAGAAGCGAGAAAGAAGTGGAGCAGGCGATCGAAAAGATTACCCCTACTCCACCGGAGAAGGAGGTAGAACCGGAGAAGGAGGTAGAAGACAAGAAAGAAGAAGACCTTGAATGTGAATTACAATTGAGCCCAATGGATGTAGACAAAGTCTTGGTGAGTGGAACAGAGTCGACTAAAGGTTCTTCTCTAGCAACTTTGAGGGCAGCGTGTTCATATCTCGGCGTTTCAGGCACTGGCTCTAAGCTAAAGGTCTACGCGAAGATCCTCAATCGCGACAAAAGATGGAACTCTTGAAGGCCAAAAGCTTGGTGAGTGAAGCAAAAGCTCAAGAGACAAGAGAAGAAGCGCTAGGGCAAAGTGTGGCAAAGATGCCAGATGAAGGCAGTCAGGCAAGGCGCAGGTCTACGCATATATCATATGCCAATTGGTGTAAGGCGTGGAGTGAACATCGAGTGCGTCTAGATCATCGTGAGAGAACAGATGGAATAGAGAGAGGAAGTATACCTGAAGTGAGCTTTGATTTTTGCTATACAAGAGCAAGAGATTCAGAAACAAAGTCAGCAAGAGCAGTATGTTGGTTAGTTGCCATCCTTTCTGCGTTCAACGCAAGGAGGCCAATCAGGAAGTTGGGCAAACCGCAGCTCCCCGTGACGATCGTATTCATGGCCCCGATTGAGTTTTCACTCAAGCAGAATATGAGAGGGTCAACAATACGTTTGAAGGCATGAAGATCAGGGACACCCGAGAGGGACATCCTGAAGTCACCAATGGTGACAGCCAAACTGGATACATCCGTGTTGTGCCATTAGGAAGCAAGTATCAGTTTCATCACGTAGTGCAAGAAAGAGTTGATGAGTATTCAGCAACCACCAACAGGAGTGACAATGAACCCACAACAAGACAAACCCTCAAGACGCTGGTCAATGCCCGCCACAGTCTAGGACACACTACAAGATTGATTACTTCAAAGCTTGGAGATCATTCATTTCTGTCACAGAACACAGTTGACAGGGTAAGAAAACTGGCAGGAAGTTTCATTGAAGGTGTGCAGTCAAGACTTGGTACTAAATCAGGATCAGACCTCGCACTTTGGACTTGGGCAGCAAGACATGCCAGGCAGTCATTGGTGCAACTCCCTATCAGCTTGTCTATGGCAAGAGTTACAAAGGACTTTTTGCTGAATATGGTGAACCAGTTCATGGTTACAGCAAGAGTTTTGGTAAAGGAGAGGCAAGATGGATTTTTTCTTGTTCTGGGGAGAAGTTGAAAGGCAAGACGCCTATGTGTTGACAGATGGTGTGCAGGTAGGGCTAAGCAAGCGCGTCAGAAGAACAGGTCAGGATTGGTCCAAGTATTTCCCAACCTACAAAAGCTTCAATGGAATATCAGACAAACTTTGGACACACAATCATTGCCACAAAGAGGACTGCAGAAGCATTGCCAGCGGCGCAAACAGACATTCCCCGAGAGCGTGTGATGTTGAAGTTCAAGGATGAAGATGCAGAGGCAGTTATGGCCAAAGCTCCTGAAGGAGGACGTGATTCGGAGAAAGAAGAACCAATGCCGATTCCAGCCCTCCTAGAAAGCACTGTGGAAGCCCAACGAAGAAGCTCAGACCATCAGATGTTTCAAGCAAGCTGCAGGTGAAAATCTTTACCATGTAGACGAAGAGCTATCCCCAGTTGCAGAAGAAGTTGACGAAGAGGACTGGGAAGAAGAAGGATCTTCTCTTCCACCTCTTGGTTGTTGTTCCATCTTCATGGTGGTATGGTTTCTTTCTCCAGTCATGCACATTGCGTGTTGTCAAGAAGCTGATTCCTCCTGTGCTACCTTCTGGTCTCTCTAGCGCCTGCGTCTTCTGGAGTCTTATCTCTCCCACTTCATGAGCTACTCTGGCTATGCATTCTTCTGGATCTTCTTCTGGCTCACTAGTTGCACGAGAA